GGGAGAAGCCCTTATTTGATCCAAGGTTCCAGATCTAATTGTTTGACCCCAAGAGTTCACGTTAAGTCAGGTCGGTTGTAAAAAGTCTAAAGAATACAACTAACATCATATTGCGCCGACCCAACTTTGGTGCGATAAGGACAAAAATGATCATTACTATACGCCAATTCCTTTAGGGATATAATCTGAATCATTAGGTTTGTATCAGTTACTCAGTTATTATTATCAGTTTATTATTATGTTAGAGTAAAGTAATGTATATTATTTAGTGCCATTTTACTTCCGATTACTGCATTCAAAGTTTTAATTTAATATTTATAGCTCGGAGTTCAAAGGAAATTATCTTAACACTTTACAATTGTATTAAGTATTCGCGTTTGATTATTTAGGTATTTAAAATAATATAATAATAACCAATAGGTTAATCTGTCTTTATCCTTGAAAATGTGTAAATAATGTTATAGACATAAATAATGTAAATATTTAAAATCACAAGTAATTAATTACATTCATTTTAACTTATCTCAAAACGTGCGTGATTTGTACGCAACTCATCTCTTATCCTTTAAACGAGCAATTCTTGTATATATATATATATATATATATATATATATATATATATATATAATTGTAATCTCGGTGCTCGTATGCATTGCTCGTATGTGCGTAGATTCGGGGGCGAAAAATACTTTTTTTCGATTCCAGATCATTGCTTTCTTTATTTTTAATTTTTTGTTGATTTGTTATTTTGTTATTTTTTTCGCTTTTTTTTAAAATTTCTTTCTTTTGTGAAAAACATCAGTTCATTTAGTACAGTTATTTTCTTATTATTACGTCGGTAAGATCGAAAAATATTATGCATATTTCATTACTCAGTAATTTGTATCTAAATGTAATTTCCAAAACACACGATTTACCAAAAAAAAAAAACCTCCAGCCAAACCAAACGGTCCTCCGGGTACTTTATTTTACGCGCGATCATTTATAACTAACACGCATACAAGTTCGTGCACAGTAAAATTTAAATATTTATGAATGACTACCGCATTGTCAACACGTTTTGTTTTTTATTTCAATAAACGATTAGACTACCGAGTCTGAACCCCTGTGTAACTTTGGGCACTTCTCAAAAAATCTCCCTGTATATATATATATATATATTATTATATACATTTCGTTCATCCAAGCCAAAAGATTATAATCAATTTATAAATATCTTAATTATCATTGAAATGTATCAACATGATAACAACAACATTTACAGGTTGACGTTTTCTTTTAAGGCAATAAATATTGCCTAACTAGACGCGCTTTATCAGGTTTAATGTTGATATGTTTTTTGTATTGTTTTAATAGTGAATAAGGTAGTGAAATCAGATTTATTCAAGCTATACAAAAATCAAGCATTTGCGGATTGGTTTATTACGCTAGTTAAAAACAAATAATGACTTCGGACTGGAAGCTTACACCAAAATACATTTCCAGCAATTATCTTTATCACATTGATTAAATAACTTAGGAAGCAGTAATTTCAGTAAAAGAATGTTTATCACCGTGACTTCAGGTGGTATAAATAATATAATATTTATTTGAAAACAACTGCCCAACACATCACTCCACACGTTTAATAAGAATAAATAGATATATTTATACATTATAAATAAATCTATATAAATCGTTTTCAAGTAGGTATGTATATGTATGGCCCCGCAAATAGAGGGCACTAAAGGTTATGTTACATTTTCCCGCAAATAAATTCAGATAATAAAAACATCTGTTATGACAGAACTAATACAAATGCTGACAGACCGATGACAACACTAATACAAATGTGTAAGGGGAATTTTCTAAATCTAACATGTCACATTTTTATCGAAATGAACGTATTTGAAAATGATATTAACCATCGACAAATTACATAACACAGTAACAAGTTTCGAAATTCGAATAAAAACTGTCAAGATAAATGTATTTTGAAGCTACATTTAAAATATCATTCTCTGAATTATCAACAATATGTTAGAATGACTTGTGTATGTCTGTTTGATGCACTTATCAGCGGGCGGCAGCAGATAAATCTACTGTGCGCTAAACAAGTTTGGATTTGAAATGAACTAATGAAAGCTTATTGCAATTAAGTACATGGCTAATGAAACCAAAGGTCATTTTTTAATTCGATAGATTCAATAAAACAGAAGTGCGCAAATAATATCAATTCATAATTTATTGCGATTTAGTGAAAATAATAAATGTCCAAGTAAAAAAAACCCATGAGGACTAAAATTGAAATCGTTTTTGAAATAAGAATAAGATTGATGAAGGTTTTTATTTAGCATTACTTGTATATTGATTTTTTTCTATACTTAATATTCTTTTTTAATTACCACGGCACTTTGTTTTTTGATCCTATTGAAATAAAAAATGTAACAATTATTCTGATATATATTATAATTTTGATGTATGCATTTTATTAATATTATTATACCAAATCTTTAAAAAAATAGCTCAAACATATTTCACAATATCAAATAAGAAACAATTGAGTGGAATTTGAAACATGAGAGTTTATCAAACAGATGTACTGTTTGATAAACTCTAATAAATTAAGTAATTATAAATAAAAAATAAGAATAGCAATAATCATGATAGTTCCTCCGCATTATGCATTTCTTTATAACAACTTATGATGACATAAAAACATTTTTAGAATATTATTTTAAAATGTAGCTCGCAAGTTTGTTTAAGACATGATTATTTTAATCTTTTTGATCCATTTTTTGCCAAACAATAAAGTTGTAGGTACAAAAGGCTATGATTTTTAAATTATTATAATATGAATGTGACTCAGCATAGCTCTAGGGTTGCCAATCAAGTATGAGGGCATAGTAATAATATATAATATTGTACTGTATTATAGGTGTGCCTGTTGCCATACTTTGAAATATAAAGAACACCAAAATATTATATTTTAGTTTGATACTTCAATCTCCTTCAACTTTTAGTAATTACAACAACTTAAATCACGAAAATTAACAGTAAAAAATAATTATTGTGTTAGTCACTTTTTTCATATAATACTAGGTTGTTTGAAGAACACAATATTTTTGAAAAAAACATTTTCGAAAAAATGTTGGCAACCCTATTCAGCTCGCTATCTTTATATTTTAAATTTTGCAAAACAATGTATTGCACTTGGCTACAGGCAGGTAGATTTATTCTTAACCGTACCAATGAATGGGTTAATAAATAAGAGACCTAATGCGAAATTTAATTCTTAAGACATCTAAAATATAACAACATTCCCAAATTTCATTTAAAATCGCATGTCAAGTTGCTATGGTTTTTATTATGGAAGATATACCACACATTTTATATCTTTAGTGGATGTTTATGGATAATAGGAACTAAATTAATAATAGCCCCTATTAAAACAAGTTATTAAAACAAGCAAAATAGATGAAAAGCAAACAGAAGAGATAGATATCATAACTGATTAATATGTATAAGTATTCAGTTCCACTACAAATAGGTACCTGATGTTTCCTGTGTAGCAAACGAACTAAAAAGCACAAGTTCAGACACAAATAGTAGCCAGTACATGCATACACCATACACTTTATTATGTAAATATCAGGGCTCTCAATGCAAGTACATGATACTCCGGTCTTAAATCACACTATAACAATGAATCATACATATGTCCTTTGTTACATAGCAAACATTATAGAATTTAAGTGATGATTTGTCATTAGAGGCTGAGAATTTTTAAATACAAACCCATTAAGTTATATATTCATATTGTTGATTTAAAGGGGAAACACTGTTCAAACTGTTGCACAAGTTAATTTTTAAGTAATTGTTTTATTTGTCAACCATTGTACCATTTTAAAATGTATCTTATAGGGAGCATATAAATGTCTATGTAGTGTAGTATTTTTTCAAAGTTATTTACAGTCTTGTCATTTGTACAACCATCTATAGTTTTGTCTTAAAATTTACACTTACACTGTTTTTGCACCAGATTGTTTTACCATTATATCTAGGTACCCATTCAAAGAACAATTCCATACTTCATTTTCACAAAAATACTCTAGCCATTTATTTTGTCAAAAATAGACATTTGCCCTCATATTTTGCCACTAGTACTGAGGAAACATACATAATAAATTTATAATAATCAACATTATTTGATAAACAATGATAACAATCAATAGATCTCTATTTTTTATTATACAAGTATGAACTTTCAACAGTCTGTTGTAAAAACATATACCTATTAATGTACAAAAGCACAATACACTTAAACCTATCATAGATACGGTTCTGTATGTATAGTTCATGTGTAGTTGTCACTAAAAGTAAAACCAATTCCTACAATACATAAATATATATGCATAAATATACATAATTTATATTTTCTTAATATTATAACAAAGAAGTATCCACTATACAATTTAATGAATCTATGTTGATGAAATGACTTTGAAAAATAACATTAAAAAGTTGCATATCTTTATTTATATATAATTGTTTTCCTCTTATAACAAACCATTTCATAAATTTACTTACCAATATCTGTACTAGAATATATTGGTATGGTTTCTGGTTAGTGGGTTAAACACAAATTAATTAAATTATATTTAGAAAAGAAAAGCACAGCAACAATTATTTCAAAATAATGTTAATTAAGATACCCTATCTACTTTTTCAATATGTCTGATTTTTAAACTATTTAATGCTTTATAACAATTCAAGAAAACAACAAAACACAAGCAATTCCATAATAAATTAAATAACATCAGCAAACCACAAGTAATCCACTCTTCACCAACAGAACAACCCATTTGTATTGTAGATGAAGACAAATAATAATTATCTAATTCTTGCTACAATCACAGAGATTATTGTGAGCTTATTAAATCAGACACTGGATCAAACAGAGTGGCCTTGGGATTGGTGCCTTTGTCCCCACTGACTAGAAGGTCCCTGTGCAGAATTACCTTGTTGCATCCATGACAGAAAATTTGGGGGTGCTGGTGGAGCAGAAGATGCTGGACCTGCAAAAGCACCTTGCTCTGAACCCCCAGAAGGAATATTATTTATGAGCCCCCATCCAGCTTGGTTCAATGCAGCTGCCACCAGTGCTTGATTGACTGGCAGGCCACCCATACCCAAGGGCATACTACCGCCTTGTGCTTGTCCTCCGCCACCAGCAACAGCAGTTTGACCGTGTTGACCAGAAAGTCCTAATGCTTGCATATTTACCATATCCATATTGCGACTATTCCAAGAATTATTATTAGAGGCATTGTGAGGATGACCTTCATCATAGTTTCGGCTAGGCAAGCTACGTTGGCTAGATCCACTTTTATTTTGCTTTGGAGATGCATTTGACACATTGACAGAAACTCCTTTTATAATATGATCTTGACCACATAGACTTTGTGCTACTTCTGGGTCTAAAAATGTAATAAAGCTGAATGCTCTAAAAGGCTTAGGTATAAAGACATCTGTAACTTCTCCAAATTGTGAGAAGTATTCTCTCAAATCATTAGCTGTTAAGTCCTCTGTGCAACGTCCAACAAACACTTTGCAAGGCATAGATGTCACCGAGCCTTCTTTTGAATTGGGTATTCGCACATCACACCATCTGCCATCAATCATATGTCTTTGGGCCAATACTCTCATTTGCGAAGCATAAGAAGCAAAACGAATAAAGGCAAAGCCCTTTGACATTCCAGTTTTAGGATCCCGTTTCAGCTGCGCCATTAAAACTTCTCCAAATTTTTCAAAATATTCCCTAACAGTTTGTTCGGTTGCTTTCCATGGTAAGCCCAAAACTATCAAGTCAGAACACAGGTTATCATTTCGTTTATTCTTAGTGGCATCAGAAAGTTCACTCGATTTCCGTTTATTTTCTTTCGGAAAACTACAGATGTATAGGTGATTACCCCAACCTTCAGGTGGCGGATAAAGTCTTCCCTCTCTTAATCGGATACCTCTTATGTTTTTAGATTCTGGATGACGATATTTTAATCCACAACATCCAGGAAATTGCGCAGACACTGTTGTTAACATCAAAGTTCCATCTTCCTCGATTGGAAGTTCTATGGGTTCTTCATTTTCGTCTTCGGCCACAGGTAAGTATTCGAAGGACATTATTTCTTAATCATGAACGATATTAAATAAAATGATAAAAATTAACACGGTTATTATACTTAATACTATAAAAATGTACAAGTTCTATTCCTTAAAAATAAAAAAATTGTTTAAACGTCAGCCACGGGTTAGGAACCCATTGCAATTTGCTAGTGTTGAAAACATAGTGCGAAGAAATATTCTTGATCTTTTATTAATTTATTTTACCGTCTAACAGAATTCCATTGCATTTTTATATATTGAATATAATTATAATGATACGGTAAATTATATGAATACATGATGTTTAATTAAATAAAGCAGTTCCTAATTTCGGTAAAACAATTACAATTTATGCATAATTATTTTGACTGTTGTTTGGTGTTTAAATTGAAATATTTACCGTAAACAAGCCTAAAGCATACACGGTACTTCTTTAGTGGCAACTGCGATTTATGTTAAATTACTCATAGTTTCTCTGTAACACCCTTCTTGACCTTCAATTGGTTATCATGTGTCTAAGCCGGAATGTTTTGTTATTCAACTTGTAAGTTCTTAAAAACGACAAATTTTAGTGAAATAAAGTTTTATTCTTGATATCGTAATATCGAGACATGTTGCTAGGTTGAATGCATTTAAAATTTCATACAAGAATTACGTACATTTATAATATTAATCTTACAATCTTCTAATTTGCTACATGCAACAAAAAACATCTGTTATTAAACATCTAATATTTTGGGTAAAAAGGTAGTTGTGAGTTCAAAATATTTTGGAATCAGCGTAGCTTAGAAAGGAAAAGCCGATAATGAGACTAAGTCTCTACCACTCGCATGAAAATGATAAATGGAATTTCTATTACTTATATTACTGTTTTTCATCTTGAAACGAAAAAAAAATATATATTGCAATGAACAGAATACGTACACTACGTGGGAACAGAAAATTGAACATTTAAATTCAATTTGATCGATTTTTGACTCAATACTCATCAATGTTTTAATTAACTACGGGCAGCACATGAATTATGAAAGGCCCTTTTTAATAAGGCTTTTTATATAGGCACCATTTTCTTAACCTATGCGTTACTTATTTGGAGCAACTTTATATATACGTAGTTTTGAAACAGTTTAAAAAAAATCTGTGGTTTTTAATTTAAAATTAGTAAAAAAAAATATTTTTTAACCTTCGATTGCATTCGTCAAAGATCAAGTTGTAGAAGCCGTGGTTGAGCAATAGACAAGATTACTTTCTAAATGTGACATTTTATAACGAAGTTGCTCTGATGTAAAAAAATACCTTTACGTAACGTAATGGTCACAGGTCATTTTGTAAATATTGCTTGTGTAAATAAAGATTTTTATAGCATGGTTGGTGAAAATTATGTCGCTAACTAATATTATTTTTCTATTTTTAAAAAATAAAAATATTTTTTAAAATTTACGTTCGAATTAAAAGTATTTGTAATAAGAAATTACGTAAAATGTACGTTTGAGTTTAAATAACTTAAATAAATATTTAAAACTGCATCTTACTTACTGATACTGACACTAGCTGGTACTTAATGTTAAAGGTTTCTTAATATTATAGCGGGTCAAAAAACAAACAACTCAACATCAAAAATTATCCTTAATAATAAACTAATTTTTAAAGATACTATAAATGCAACATAGTCAGTAAAAGCAGTTTAATTTTACAGTAATATAATCGATAAAACAGATAAGAACCAACATTTTATTTTTTGACTTCTGTAATGTCTGCAGTGTATAGAAAATCTGTATTCACAACATAAACGTTAAAATGTTCGATGCAATTGCATTGTTTTCATTGTACATTTTTTGATTACTACTAACGTATACATAAGGTGAAGAATTTTTTTGCCATTTAACAACTTATATTAACAAAAGTTTTAAGAATAACCGTATTATTTTTCAACTAATAAATGTTTTCAACATAACCTTTATACTGTCAGTAGTCAAATTACTAGTTTACATAGTAATAATTAAATTTTAAAGCCAACATTTTTATTTAAAGTAGCATGTCTTTATTTTGAAGTTTCGCTATTAATTGTTTTATTGCTATGGATGATGACTGTAAAGATTACAGGAAAAGCAAACCACAACAAAAAATTTACAAACCTGGAAGTGGTCCTCTGAGGAGATCGAGGTATGGCTTGGATGGTAAAATGGAAACATATGAAATAGATACCGGCTATAAGGGGACAGAATTAAGTCGTTATGGATCCCAAAATTCAGTAAATGGCGATGACGTGAGGTGCAGACAACCGTCTGTTTCAAATGTTCGACAAAGAAAGCCAGAACAACAATTATATGTACCTCGATCTGGAGATTCATTTGGTGATGTCGACAGACAATCGAAAGCACCATCTAGGTGTGATAATACTAGTCAGAACATTAATAGAAGAATGTCTAATAATCAGGAAAGCAAACCTTATTCTAGCAGTAGTTCAACATCATATTTCAAAGGTGCCCCTGGAAGAGAAAAGTGTAATGATGATTATAACAAAAAAGAGGAAACTAGTAATGACATCAAGGCCAATAGACATATTAGACAAGTTTCAGAATCTAGATCTATGTCCCCCGCACACAGTTTGCAAGAACAGAATATTACAGACAGACACCGTGACAGTCGAAGTATGGAGACGTGGGCTGGACGGCATAAGTCTGGTTCTGTTGGAAAGCCACCATCAGGACGTAGAAATTCTGCTGGTTATCCTACTGAGTTGCCACGGCCTAAACACATAAATTTGGATAATATACCACCCAGATTTCGAAAGAAGTTTTTAGAACAAACTGGTCAATCTTTTGAAAATGATGACCAGTTTCATAGAGATAAGAATGCTACTTCAATACAGTCTATTAATAGCTCTAATCAATTTTACACTAGTAATACAAATTGGTCCCAAACTTTGCCATCTAGAGGAAGAGGTCGTTTAAGAGATAATGAACATTTTGATAGGGAAAAATTCCTTACTTCATATTTAAAAAGTTATGATGTCCAAAATTCCAGAAGATCAACTCCTAGCAGTTCCTACATGAATTTATATGAACCAAATGTAATGGATAATAAGAATACCAATGCAAAATCTGATGAATTCATTAGCACAAGTGACATCCAGAAAGAAATTTATGATAGCTGTAAGTTGTAGTATTATCATAGAATTTTCTTACTAATTTAAGTGTATACCAATGTGTAACTCCCATGTAATTTTCTTTTCATTTTCTTTTGTCAGTTCTTACTTTCTTTTATAACTTGCTGCTTTAAAAATGGTGTAAAGTTGTAGAGATCAGTTAATCAGCACCCACTCTTTGGAAAGGTTTCCTAAATATTATTATTGCATCCCCTGAAACACCTCAGTTATTAGCTTTTCACATAAAAAATCCATAATAACACAATTTCTTTGAGTGATTGAAATTTATCACATTTAATTGTTGAATTTGGGTTTTCATCAAGATGATGAATCTATTTTGTTGCAGTGAATTCAATAGAGTTATAAAAACAGTAATCTTTTCCACCATTATATAGCATGTTGTTACAACCGCAACAATAAATGATATGAATAAATTTTTCAAACAAACTAATTAAGTAAAAAAGAAACAAAATTTGTAACACCTATACAACTACAACTGACTGATTCATACATTCAGAGACTTTATCATTCGTTGCCACAGTGTCGCATTACAAGCCTCTCCTTCTAACAGTATGTTTTGTCTCTTTTAAATTCATTGAACCCTTTCATATGCTTTGTGACCTTTACGAATGAACTTTACATTACAATTTTATATGTAAGGGTGTTCTAAAACTGTTAGTTTTGTAAAATTTAATAACTCGGTAAATAATGATCTTTAAAGAATGTAAATATTTAATACAATTTTAAAAAGTTATCCTCTATATGTGTGTTCATTTATTGTTGCGGTGGTAACTACATGCTGTATGTAAAGTACATCTGCTATGTTATAACTTTTTATAGCAAAAATTTTGCATTATATGTTTTGCAGTAAGCAAAAATGGTGTTAGTACTGGTGATACCAATCAGCAAGACAGGGAGCTTAAAGTTGAATCTGTAAATGATAACAGTCATGAAGATGAATCAGTTTCAAAAAATTTTACAAATCTTTGTGATATGACAAATTTGGTAAGTTCATTGTTATTTTTTTTTTATGTGAAAAGTTGCCAAACAAGCAGACGGTTCACCTGATGGTAAGTAAATACCGCCGCCCATGGACATCTGCTACACCCGACGGTTACAAATGCGTTGACAGCCTTTTGAAAAATTGGGCTCCGGCTACCTCACTCACCAGACGAAACATGAAAGTATTTGTCATACTTCCACTTTACGCTGGTCTTCTGTGAGTTTGTGGTACTTACCCGGACGGGCCTGCTCATTCATGCAACAGCCGAGGCTGCTGCGTGGGCCTACCACCGTAATTTAATTTGAGTACTAAAAATTCAATCTTGCTGTCAATATTTGTAACTTTTTCTTAATTTTTCTTAATATTAGGATTGGACAGAGGAAGTGGAAAAGAACATAAAATTAGATGATATATGTGACTCATCCACAAGTTTTTCACTAAATCCTAAAACCTCCATATCTGATGAGGTGAAGACATCTGAACCAAAGGAATCTAAAAGAAGTGGGCGATCTCGAAGAAGAGATAAAAGGTATTATTCTGCATATTATTATAAGATAATTATAAATAAACTAAAGGAACATTCAAAATGTATCAATTTCAATGCATCTGTTTTTAGAAGTTCAAGCAGAGGTCAGAGAAATTCAGAAAAAAAAACAGAGCGCACCAGAAAAGATAGTAATGTTAGCACACAGAGTAAGCCTGAAAGAAATCGGAGGGATAGTAATGTTAGCATCCAACACGAATTAATCTCTTCTTATCCGAAACATAGAGAACGAGAAAGAAGAGACAGTCATAGAAGCAATCGCTCCTCAACCATAGGAAACAGCAGAGATGACTTGGACAAATGGAGATCATTAAGATCATATAGCAGAGAACAGAGCTCTGAAAGGTACATATCCATTAGAAGAGGCACATATTTTATCTTATCTTCATTATTATTATAATTATAAGTACCTGGAGGACCAGGAGGGTGTATTTTGGAAATTATATTTAGATACAAAATACTGAGTAATGAAATATGCATCATATTTTTCGATCTTACCGTCGTAATAATAGGAAAATATGAACTGGTGTTTTTCAAAAAAGAAAGTAACTTTAAAAAAAAGGTAAAAAAAGAACAAAATCATGATCATGAAGAACAAAAGCAATGATCATAAACGAAAAAAAAGTAAAAAAAATAAGTGAGTAAATGATCGTGACACGAACCACGGCCTTCTGTTTCGGGGCCGCCCGATTACCCACCGAGCTATTATAACATATTTTTTTTTCGGTGAAATTTACCGTCGTATTCGAGTGATATTTTTCATTCCCTGAAAACAGGGATAAAAGGACATTTTCTAAAAATGTAACCTAGCTAGATCGATTTTTCGCCCCCGAATCTACGCATATACTAAATTTCATGAAAATCGCTGGAGCCGTTTCCGAGATTCTAATTATATATATACAAGAATTGCTCGTTTAAAGGGTAAGATAACAATTTCATTTCATTACAGACGGATTATATCACAATGTAACAGCAGAGATGCTTCATCTAACCGAGCTTTAAGTCCAAGAGATGCTGATGGATTTAGATTACCTAAACCATCCAATTCAACATCAGCAAATCAGGTATGACTTTCCAACAACATATTATTGCATACACAAAAATTTTAACTAAATGATGAATAACTGAATAATTTTTGCATTGTTTTTTCTTTGTTTTTATAAAGTTTCTTGAAATCATCATATTGTAGTTACAATGTTTCCAAATTTATTATTTAGCCAGTGATGGCTTACATTTAGTGGTGTATCCACTTTCAATGTACAAACAGGCACCAGGTGCACACAACCATCACATAATAGACTAACTACTTTTATAGGCTGTTTTATTTAAATAATAGTTCACAGTTACAAGGCCACTTGCCTGCCCAATTATATGAGTTTTTTATTAATTATGGATTATTGCATATGTGCAGAAACATAATGGGACTTGGCCCAATGGGCGCAACTCAAGTATAGAACGCAGAAGACAGTCTCCAGCGCCTAGTCATGTTAACATTGGAACCAAGGAGCAAACTATAGAGAGTGGAGGTGGTACAAGTAGCGGTGGAGGGGTTAGGCGCTCAAAAAAGCGGACTTCTAGACGTAGAGGGCGAAACTCCGAGAATGTTCTCCCTGCCACACACCAACCACCTGGTTCCACACCTGCCCCAACTAACATAAATTGGCGGGAAGAAATACTTGAGTCAAAGAAACATCAAACATTAAGGGACAGGTAAGAGCAAAGCCACCATTCATGCAGTAGGGATCTTTGTGTTTAATACTAATAGATCTTAATTTTAGACTGTAATATACCCTAATTCCTTTTTTATTTACAATTTTATGTATTCTAGGTGGGATCAGCTTCAAATTACAGGTTTTACTATCTGCAGTATTATTTTAGCCTTCTGCTAAAGATACCATCCCCTCTACCATTGTAAGCATGATGTAATATGTAATTGTCATTTTAATACTTAACTAAAAATAAATTTCAGACCACATGACAGCACACATCAGAGAAACAGACTGAACAGTGCACTCTCAGACAAGTCTATGACGGAGTCTTCCGGTGCCCAACCTGGGTTAATAATTTTACCCCATAGTTCTATGTCAACTTTGCAAAAGGATGGGTAAGTTAGAAATATAATTATTTTATTTAATATATAATATTAATGGAATCATGTTAATCCAGAGGTCTTAATGGATAGATTTTATCTGGATGAAAAAAAATATGATCTCTGGAATACCTGTTTCCAATCTGGATTTACATCTATTAACAATCCGGAAAAGCTATAGATGATATAATAAACACTTATTGACAGAAGGGTTTTTTTAAAGAATTAGAATTAGAAAAAGGAATTTTGCACCCACTTAATTATAAAGATTATAATATTTCCATTTCAGGCGCTGCGGATTTGTTGATACCCAAAAGACTTTATATGACCACCATAATCCATCCAAACCTATTGTTGTACAAACTAGTCCTAATAAAGTAGATGTGAGAATGGAACAAGGTAACTCTAAATTAGTAGATTTTTAATTTTTTCATAACTTAAAGTAATGGAATGGAAAGTCTGTAAAAATAAGAAAAAAGGCATTTGCTACATTATCCATGTTTGTAATATATAAAGAAATTTGAAAAGCCAATAACAATATGTCAACACACATGCCAGATCACATGGGTTGTATGTGTTACTCAAATCTATAACTGTTGCCTTTTTCTTGAAATAACACAGAACATTTCTGAAGTATACATTGGAAGTAAAATATAGCAATTGACATTGATCACTTTTTCGAAATTTGCTTTAAGGGCAAACTCAGTTTATGATATTTGTTTTAGACATTATGTTAATTTCACTTTTCATAATTTATTTTTACAAACAGTTGCAAATATTTGTTTACACAAGTTTATTATACTTGTAATAACAAAACTGTGGATTGATTAATATGTTCGACATTTATGTACTTGAGTTTATAAATTGGATTGATAGTTGATTCATTATTCTTAACGTTAAATACCGAAATATTTTTTGTTTTTATAATAATATACGTACTAATAATAAATAATAGTTCTTCTGTTTTTATTTCTATATTTACAGTTTGCGTAATCACGGAATGGTAACGATAATTTTCAAATAGTGATTAAATTAAATTTAAAAAAAAATATACTTTATAATTTGATACGAAAATTGTAAAAAATAATTCATTTTTTTATATGAAAAGTTGACAGTTATCAAAACTATTATTACAATCGCAATACACCAGTACTACCGTTACAGCACCGAGTTAGATATATATAGAAAATTTACAAAGATGACAACGAATCATTGGCAAGTTGCTTAATTCTGCAACATAAACGCGTAATTAAAGCCCAAAGTTGTCAAACGAGCAGACGGTTCACCTAATGTTAAGTGAATACCGCCGCCCATGGACGTCTGCTACACCCGAGGGTTACAGATGCGTTGACAACCTTTTGAAAATTGGGCTCTGGCTACCCCACTCACCAGACGAAACGCAAAAGTATATGTCATACTTCCACTTTACGTCGGTCTTTTGTGAGGTCGTGGTACTTACTCGGACGAGCCTGCCCATTCGTGCAACAGCCGAGGCTGCTGCGTGGCCCTATCACAGTAAAATTTCTATTAATAATTATAAACTCAAATTAATATTAATAATTATAGCAGAGAGCACATACTGGATATGCAAAACTTAATTACTGATGATGGCTTCGCGCTTTGTGCTGGTTTAATCGCTTGATAACGCAAAAAATATAACCCAATCTACTATTCAAAGAAATATCTCCGATACTTATTTTATATATAGAGCCGTGTAATGAATTGGAAGAAATGTGATAAATTGTTGTCTTTTCTTATTGTATAGCAATGAAAGAGACGTCAGTTCGCAGCGGAATGGGCTACGAGGCGAGTGACGCAGCGAGAGCGGCAAGGCACGTCGCCCTCTTACAGAAGGTCGACAGGGCGGACGCCATTTTGCGGACGCACACGCTGCGGGGCCCAGTGGCGCTTGCTTCTCACTGGGACGATGTTATAGAAACTAGGTTCGGATATATTACACAGAAATATCTTACATATGTAAATGTAAAACGATGAATATACATATTTTAGATTACATATATGAATGTTTTGTTGTTACAGAAGTTTTCTACAAGATGCACTTCAAAAGCTGCTAATGTCGGATTTAAAATATTGTCAGTCAGATAACATTGAACATCAGTTTTGGAAGATTTTGTACTATAACTTTATTGAAATTTTAAGAAGAAGTATAGCGCAAGTCCCTCCAGAAGTGAAGCCGGATATAGTGAAACTGATAAATAAAATAATTGACGAAGGAAATATTTTTTTCGAGAATCTCGTGCAAATGTTAGAAAAAACTTATAAGTTCAATACAGATGATTATTTAAATGACAATCATGTTTTGCCGCCTAAAGGCTTGGGGTATATCGGATTGGCGTTGATCTCAGTACAAAAGTTATATGTTTTTTTGGGAGACTTAGCTAGATATAAGGAACAAGTAAACGAAACAAATAATTACGCCAAAAGTAAATTCTGGTATACAAAGGCCCAGCAGATTAATCCGAAAAATGGAAGACCATATAACCAGCTAGCTTTATTGGCAATTTATGCTGTAAGTATAATTTTAAAAGACACAGAAATTTGTTTTTTGAAATTTGCTTAGTAATATATCGTGAAATTTCCCCTATTTCAGAGAAGAAAGTTAGATGCTGTGTATTATTACATGAGAAGTTTAATGTCGTCCAACCCGTTTCAATCGGCGCGGGAGAGTCTGTTGTCTTTGTTTGATGAAAACAGAAAAAAAGTATGTATTGCGATCAGATAGAAGTTTAGCCTCAGTACATTAGGCCAAACGATCAATGTCTTTGAGTTGGCCAGGAGGAGAAATAGTTGAAAATCTTACGAATGTTATCGTTATTAATTTTTGATTTTATTCACACCGCTTATTTTAAAGGGCCATGGAGACAGACTGAGGTATATTATGTCCTAAAGTTAATACGGGCTGCGTGTGAGGGACAGTTGAGGACTTGAGGTTTATAGCTGAGAGTGGAGTGACTTTCTTTGTCCTCAGCTAACGGAAGGGTTCGTGGGGAAAGAAGTATTGGTATTAAGATTCGCCGCTGGGGCTGGGAGGCTTGCTACCTGTTAGCAGTGCCTTCTCCGGCTCCCATGCCCACTGGCCAGCGGGCTGGGACAGGTTGCGCGTACAAAAGAGACCGAGTAGGAAGGCGCGCTTTATGTTCCAGCGCCTTACTGCTGAAGTGGCCAGTACTGGCATGGTCGTGGAAATATGTGAATGCATTCCCACGACCCTGCCAATATGCACCCTGGGTGGAACATAGTTTGGATTTTACTACTTTATTTATCGACATACCCAAACCTCGCCCCCGTGAGGGCCCCTACGCTTCCGAAAAAAAAGTGGTAGCCGGAGTGGATATTAGGAGCGTATACTTGAAGAGGCCGGTACTGAACAATTTAAAACGGTGTCGCCTACGACAGACTACCTCGACCTTTTGTTTGAAAAAGGAGGGCTAGCGGGTCAGCTGATGGTAAGCGGTCACCGCCTCCCATGGACATTTGAAACATCAGAGGGGTCACAATTGCGTTTCCAGCCTTTGAGGTAGGAGCGTGCTCTCTCGAACGTTTCAACACGTAATCGTTTTGACAGTACGAGGCGGCGGAGAAGAAGCGTCGGGCGGCGGAGACGCAGAAGGCGGAGGGCGGCGACACGAGCGCGGCCAGCTCGGGCGGGCACGGCCTTCGGCGCGAGGTGTGGCTGCGGCCCGGCGCCTCCAGGGCCTCCCCCGCCCGCCACCATAGCGACGACGAGCGCTTCGACGCCATGACGCCGGTCGAGGTGCGCCCCCCCAACTACTGTTTTCTTTTGTTTGTTTGTTTATCCTTTACTAGCGACCCGCCCCGGCTTTGCACGGGTGCAATTTATTTAATATACATATAAACCTTCCTCGTGAATCACTCTATCTATTATCGCTATGGGAATCGAACCCACGTCTTCGGCATTCGCGGCCTGACGCTTTAGCCTCTAAGTTAAACAGCTGTTTTCCACACCGACGACAATCTTAACGTCTTTTATCTACATTGTTTTTTTTAGCAATGCTTGGCGCATCCATTGTTGTGTCCATTCCAGCATACAATACATTCTTTTCGTACTTTTTCTACAAATTTTAATGTTTAATCTTAAGTGCAGAGATTAGCACTATAAAAAAAATTAATCACTCTAGTAAAAAAAAAATCGCATCGAGATCCGTTGCGTAGTTTTAAAGATCTAAGCATACATAGGGACAGACAGAGAGCGGGACTTTGTTTTATACTATGTAGTGATTAGCGAACCGTCCCGGCTTCGCACGGGTGCAATAGATGATAAAAATGGCTACTGTGGGTTATCCATGGGTGATAAAAATGCACCTATTAGGTTTAGCCAGCGTTTCCAGTGTAAGCACACAAAATTATTTTTGTTTACCTGCGAAAATACATTCCAAATCTTTGAATTTCTCGGCTTCTTTCTACGAAAATATGCATTTAAATTAGATAAGTGATTCAAGAGGAAAGTTCATATGTATAATACATTGCACCCGTGCGAAGCCGGGGAGGGTCGCTAGTAGTTAATAGACCTAAGTATCTGGTATAATTATTTAGCAATTTTATTATGCCGGTATAATGGGTAGGTACGGAACCCTCGGCGTACAAGTTCGACTCGCACTTGACCGGTTTTATTTATAGTAAATTTGACCATGGGATTTAAAAATAAAATTATCAACTTATGTGATGTTAAGTGATTTATACATTCGACGATACATGCGAGTTGGACATATGTTCTAGATCGTAAATATTTTCTGAACGTTATCTGACGTTAATTTTATTCAATCAACGAAGATTTTTGATCGAAAGATCGACAGCTACAACCATAACACAATTTATATTACATTATATTTTTTCTTTTGTTACAGTTGAACAAGAACTTCATCACGAGTTACTTGCACGTTCACGGCAAATTAATAACAAAAATCGGGTTAGTAATCAGAAAATATATATACCATTTAATACATGACGTAAATATTTAATTATCATCATCATTAAAAACTTTGAGTTTGAGTTCACTGCTGAACGTAGGCCTCCCCCGCAGACTGCCTGCACACTTGCACAGGTCGTCACTCCACTTGGGGAGGGGGAGAAGGGGGGGGGGGGAATATTTAATATCTATAATAAGATGCTGTAACCTAGTGTGCGATGTTCTAGATGAGAATGTTTATTTATTCCTCATGATATTTATATGTTTTTAAACTCACTCTCACGTACACTTACTTAATAGTGTAGGTACAGTATTTGTTAAATGAATTACGCACTCATTTAATAACCATTAAAAGATTTGAAATAAAATCTTGAAAGAAATTATAGATGTATGTATAACGAGTAGTCTCAACATTCTATAAGGAATACTTTTGTTAACAAAAACCAACGGTCTTCAAAATTTCTCACTCGCTATACCAGATGGCCCTTTGACTCTGGAGACACTCCAGAGTCAAAGGGCCAATACCAATACAATTAATGCGTGACATAGAACCAAGGCCAGATTTAGAGATCTGGAGTCCTCAGTGCAACAAAGGAGTGGAGACCCCTTGGCCCCAAATTGTTTTATATTGATTTCTGTTAATATTTAACGTAATCATGTTTGTACAAAGTACTATAGGTAAAAGTAAAACTCGAAAAAAATATGAAAGGAATAGTTGTTTACTATTGTTTATTGGTCTGAATTTGATTTTTTTTTGCGATGACGCCATTGTGGGGGCCCCTTGTTTGTGGAGGCCCTTGCCCTGCCCTAAATCCGGCACTGCATAGAACTAAACTGAACCTAACGCAAAGAAGAAATTTTCAAAATCGTTTCATAAACGGCCGACTTCTGAGGCAATAAACATGAAAAAAAATCTACAACCGACTCTCGCTCGACTAAACGTGCTGGGCGCACGTCCAGGATGGAGACTCTGCACGAGAGCGCGGCGCGGATGCTCAGGCAGTTCCGCGCGCTGCTGCACCGGCAGCCGCTGCCCACGCCGGCCGCCCGCCTGCTGCAGCTCACCGCGCTCAACATGTTCGCCGTCGAGAGCAACGCGGCGGCGCAAAGAGGTGATTCTTATTTTTTTTTGCTTAAACCGCCCTTACTGTGAGATGACATTATCCCGGCAGATTGACATTACGCCAGGGTTCGTTCAAGTTTGCGTTGTCGCGTTTCCGTGTGAGCAAAAGGTTAAACGTGACTTTTTTTTAGTGGGCGATCCCGTGTTATTCGGGAACTCCCACATACCCCTGCTGCTTACAATACAATACAATATCAGCCTGTTACCGTCCACTGCTGAACGTAAGCCTCCCCCAAAGTGCGCCAACTATCCCGGTCCCTGGCAGCCCGCATCCATCCGCTGCCCGCCACCTTTCTTAAGTCGTCAGTCCATCGTGCTGCAGGCCGTCCCACACTTCGTTTTCCTAACACGCTGCTGCTTGCTGCTACCCAATATTTGGTCTCGTTTCGAAATTAAATTCACGTCTCCGTGTACTTAACGACAATTGTTACACTTAAATGTCGTAAAACCTTATGATGAATGTCGTAAATTTTTTTAGGAAATGTTTTTTTTTTTCTTTTTATGAAACTGCCCTTACAGTAGGACGACTTTATCCTGTGTTGTAAGGACGTTTTCCATACATATATTTCACGTGGACAAACATCAAGATCGGAAACGATTATTTATTTCACACATATACTCGCCCCATGTGGGAATCGAATTCACGACCCCTGGCATCGAAGCTAATACTTCGGCAACTGCGTCTCGGAGTTATAATCAATTCGCCATTCGATTCGCCACGGACCTTCCCCCCTACTTCGGAAGCTTACTTCGGACCGCGCTATATTAGTCGAGTAGCGAATGATTTAGTAGCTTAACGCGTCCGAACGCCTAAATTTTCGTCGAGTAGACCAGTAAGCCATTGAGTCGACCTATTTTTTTAACATTTTTACGGGCGATTAGCGCCTGCCATCACGCGTCAATGCTGATTCTTGTGGCTCTGCATGTGACACATGTGGACTTGTGGTTTTAGCTTTTTTTAGTTGTCCTAAAAACATTTATTATATCTATGATATGGAATGTTAAGTCCCCCCATTATAAAAATAAACATATGAACCAATCAGCGTTTGGGTATTAACCTATTTAATATTGGGTATAATCAGTTTTACTCTGTTGCGTTGCAAGGCTGCATGTACTAAAAACTCTCCACTCGAAGAACATACTAATTATAATAAGATAAAAATATCTTAAAACAAACATACTACCATAGTTTGACTACTAATTATGGTAGGTCCATACAATAGTATTCGTTGTTGCACAAAAAGATAGGTCCGTCCGGGGTAGTGTTGTCAACTGTTCAAAAAAATTCTCTTGCAATTCAAAAATCCACTAAATTAAGAGCAATCGAATTTAGTGAATTTTGAAAAAAAATTGTTTCAAATGTTTCTCATTTAGGAAGTTTTACTTTTAATTTACCTACCCCCTAAAATACTTCCAGTGTAAATTTTTTCCTGCTAAATTTAGGAAGAAAATACCTAAGTTGGGGCTTGATGTCCATGGGCGGCGTTTACCACTTCAGCCATAGTCCTACCGCCAGCTTCAGTTTACACTGCTGTCTCAATTGTTATCGTTTTTGTTTATTATATGAAAGAGCTGATTTCCTTTTAATTTGGTAGTAAAATGCAGCAGCTTTTTCTGTTGTTGCATGAGTGGGTTCGTTTTGGAATTACCAGGATGGCCTCACTAAAAAGTGAGGTAAAGTTATGTACTTTATATATGACTTTTTTTCATTGCCTCCTTTAAATTACGTAGGGTGTTTGCGTAAGATGCGGCAGTAATACCTTAAGTGTTCTCGAATCAGTATTTCCTTAAAATCCCAAAACACTGTGGCCATGAGTTTTCCAGCGGCGCCTTTAAACTTTTTTGATGCGTCTGTTCCTTTTTTATTCTACTGAATGGGCTCTTGATTGCTTTCAGGATTATAGTGAAGAACCCACATTTTATCACCGATAACGATTCAGTTTAAAATATGTACTTTCCGGTGGTAGGGCCACGCAGCAGCCTCGGCTGTTGCATGAATGGGCAGGCCCGTCTGGGTAAGTACCACGACCTCACAGAAGACCAGCGTAATGTGGAAGTATGACAAATACTTTCGCGTTTCGTCTGGTGAGTGAGAGAGCCCAATTTTCAAAAGGTTGTCAACGCATCTGTAACCCTCGGGTGTAGCAGATGTCCATGGGCGGCGGTATTCACTTAATATCAGGTGAACCGTCTGCTCGTTTGACAACTTTGGGCTTTAATTACGCGTTTATGTTGCAGAATTAAGCAACTTGCCAATGATTCGTTGTCATCTTTGTAAATTTTCTATATATATCTAACTCGGTGCTGTAACGGTAGTACTGGTGTATTGCGATTGTAATAATAGTTTTGATAACTGTCCATATGGTCCATAACTATTAAAATTACAATTTTAGCAATTTCAAGTACCTTTTAATTGTTTACTTTTTTTTTACAAAACCTATGATATATACAATATGATATGCAGTATTTGTATTACACATCAATTGCCCATACCGCAGAATTTTAGTAAAAAATACCATGCAAATGGGAACATAAGCGGGTAAATTATAAATAATTGAATAATTTAAAGTTACTTTGGTTATAATTATGTAGTTAACACGCATTCGTACCGAGCTATGGGTAAAATTATTTTAAAATCATGTTATTAGCACTCATTATGGATTTGTTCCGAGATCATCATTTTGAGACATCGGTAATATTACAGTTCAGCTTTGTTCAAACACGCAATGCAAAAAATGGAGCGTAAAATTTCTATTTTCGGTTTTTTGCTGCATTGATGTTTTTAGTCTGTATTCTATTCTATATAATCTTATTAGAGAACATAGAGAGAGAAATTACTAATTTATCATTAACTGCTGCCTGCACCTTTACTTGTATAGATTTCGATTTTCGGGATCATCAGGAACCTTAGTAAAGACCTTTAATTACGGTTCTTTTCTATAATTAAAATTTCTGTGTTTTGGAAATGGAAATAATACATTACTCTACGAGAGAAGTATCAAAATTTTCGCGAAAACTTGAAAGTATCAACATTTACTTTAATTATTAACTATTTTATTTTTTGGAATTTTTCCTTTACTGGTGCTGTAAGCTAGCTTTTAACCAAAATTAACAATTCTAGCTCAACCGAAAGTACTCGTTGGTCAATAATCACAAAATTTGGACAAAAGCTAGGCCTTAGCTTTTTGTCTAATTTGTAAGGACAAATAAAGGAAAAATTCCGAAAAATAAAAAAGTTAAATATTAAGGTAAATTTTGCCCATATCTTTTTATCATGTTGATCTTGATTTTCTATACCTAATAGGGACTGAAGACCTCGGTATCTGGTATAAATTTCAACTTAGGTCCACCCGTTTCTTTCTCAGAAATTATCAGTTTGGTGATTATTTACCATTATTTTTATTATATAAGCTTTATAATGGTTAGGTACGGAACCCTCGGCATACGAGTTCGACCCGCACTTCATCGGTTTTTTCTTTAATTGCTTAATAACGTATAGTTGTTGCGTAAGATGCTGCGGTTTTACTTAAGCCTTTTTTAGTATGTTTAATAAACAAAATCCCTTTCCAGTCCCAGAATATTGTTTTAGAATACAGGTTTCCAACCGATTGCGTGCCTTTGAAATTCTTCGGCGTTGCATGCTGCATGCACCCTTTTTGAGCCATTGTATTGACTCGTGTTCGTCTCCGGTAACGATCGTAAACACTAGCAAGATTTTCACACAAACCTTCAAAACTCTTTACAACATGCAATTCACGTAATGGTGTTGCATTCGTAGCGCCCATTTTCCACTGACTTTTGAAAGTTTCAAAAAGTAATTGAAGTATTGAATGTATGCTACCTAAGGATACCTTGGCCATCTCACCTAACGAATTGATTTTCATACGAGTATGTACGAGCAAAGTTTCTCGACGTTTTCACGCGACCAGGAGGTCATCTTCATCAATTTCTCTACCTCTTTGAAATTCGCTCGACCAATTTTAATTGGAAGGTGACGAAGTAGCGCAATCCTTGTAAACGACCACTAACCCTGCTTATTTTTATACAGCGTGTCTTTACCATCGCGACAATAAATGAACACACATATAGAGGATAACTTTTTAAAGTTGTATTAAAGATTTACATTCTTTAAACATCAATATTTAGCGAGTTATCAAATTTTCCAAAACAAAGAATTTTAGAACACCCTTACGTATAAAATTTTAATGTAAAGTTTATATGTAAAGGTCACAAAGTATATGAATGGGTTGAATTAATTTAAAAGAGACAAAACATACTGTTAGAAGGAGAGGCTTGTAATGCGGCGCTGTGGCAACGAATGAAAAAGTCTCTGAATGTATGAATCAGTCAGATGTAGTTGTATAGGTGTTACAAATTTTGTTTCATATTTACTTAATTAGTTTGTTTGAAAAATATTTTTTTTAATTGTGGATTGTTTTTAACGTTAATATTTTTTTTATGATTATTGGTAAGTAGCGTTAGACGTGTGTTCATTTATTGTCGCGGTGGTAAAGACACGCTTGTATATGTTTTTCCTTGTTTCCTCAGGAATTTAATAATAGCGGGGTGCTCGATTTTAGTCAACATTTTCGAGTAAGAAAAATACAATGCAATCGAAACACGGTTTTAAAAATGCTCATGATACTAAACCGACGATTCTTTTTTAATTTTCACTTTGGCTAATGTCATAAGAAAACCATAGATAAAAACTATCCTCATGACTAAAAAAAGGTTACGATACCGAGAATACTTTGAACTCTGTAAACCGTAGTACTAATTTGGTACTACCAATGATAACGTCAACTTTCTAGTTTATACTGAATCATTTTTTTGACCAAGCTTTTGAATGATATCCTGTTAGAGGCCATACGTATCTCATTAGGCAAGGAGTTCCAAAGTCATTCTCATCCTCCTGACCTTATCTCACCTAGGTGGGGTCTGCACAACATGTTGAATCATGTTGTATGCGATTTTGGCTATGTTTTTTAC